AATATATTTATTTATTTAAAGTAACTAATGTTTTAATCATATACTCTACGACACTGGTCACTCATTTCCACTCAAAATACCTACATAATCGGATTAAAAGTTTTATAGCTGTATTGTATTTCTTCAGATACAAGGTGGGTTAGTCGAAAACATCTTAAACTGCCAGTTTTAGTTTGGTTTTTGTTATTATATCATATTAGCTGTCCTCTCTGTATTTCAGTTCTCTAATGAGGGTCAAACTTGCAGTGAGCTATCAACAAATTATGAACGGACTATAGATCTGTAGCAAATGAAAAACGGCAAATCGAACCACCAGTAACAAATGAGGCGACACAAGTGGTAATTCTAGGCCATGTTGAGCTTGACCATACTTTGAGCATAAGAAAGTTAGCTTTCGTTTCCGGGGTGTCACGAATTAGCATTCGGCGTATTTTAAAAACCCACAAAATGCATCCTTACAAGATTAAATTAACGCGAGAACTGAATGAAGATGATGTCGATCGACGCTTGCAACTTTGCGAGCTGGTTAGTGAACAAGCGGTGGAAAATCCACATTTTGTTTTCAACATTTGCTTCAGTGATGAATGTTCTCTTTTCCTAAATTGCACAGTTAATCGCCATAATTGTAGCTATCGGGCTGATTCAAATCCTCACATGTTTCATGAAGTGCATACTCAACGTCCACAAAAATTAAATGTATGGGCTGGAATTTTAGAAGGCAATTTAATCAGAGAAATTTATCTGGAGCTTCTGTAGTTTCTATCGATCCCCTTTTCACTGATATCATCGAAAATGACCACAATTATCGGGAGGATCTGTTAATATTCCAACAAGATGTGGCTCCTCCGCACTATGCTCTGCCTGTTCGGCAGTATTTAGACCAGACTTTTCCGGATCACCGGATTGGAAGGCGGGGCATATCGAATGGCCACCACGATCACCAGACCTTTCGCCGTTAGATTTATTTCTGTGTGGTCATTTGAAAAGCAGAATTCACTGTACTCCTCTTGCATCACTCGAAGATTTACGGCAACGAATCACTAATGAATGTCGCCAAATCACAACAGAAATGCTCCACGATGTTCGAGAAAGTTTCCAGCAGAATCTCTATTATTGCATGGAAGCTGGAGGTGACCATTTTGAGCATATGCTAACATGAGAATAGAGTAAGTAACTTCGACTCTAAATTTAATATAGTTCGTCCAAATAAAAAAAAAGTACACTGTTGTTTAGATAATTCCAACATCTTTCAAACGATGTGCGGCACGCCCCCTATTCCGTATTAAAATTCCAAGGGTTGTTCACCCCTCTACTCCGGGGTTGAAGTGATGACGCTGTAAATGGGAAAAAACTGTTCCCCTCCCAATAAAAATCGTCCTGTCTGAGCGTTTTTAAGGATTTGCAAGATTAGTACCCAAAACCTCCATGTCAAGTTTTCGATGGCCCACCCTGTATTTTTCTTTGTTTTTGTATCATTTAGAAAAAATCAATAGAGAGGTATTAGTAGGGTTAAGTGGAAGAACAGTTCAGTTGTTGAATTTATTCAAGAACTGAACTGAACTTCGCCTTTTATTTTCAAAAATTTTCTGTTGATGTATTTCCTCAATCTTGTTTTTTTTCAATTTTTTTGGAAAATAAAATAAAGACGATAATAAAGACGATTATTATTATTATTAATAAGGAGATCCATGCCAAGTATGATGATGGTATACAAGCTGATTCACGGTGGATGGCACATTAGACGTTTCTGGTGAACCAGACAACGGATCACTTTGAAAATTCAATGGAGGGCATATTCGGACATTCTCTAGCCAACTAAAATATTTTCGACAATGCGGTGTTGCCGCTTCTATTAGAAAGCAGTAGCAACTTTGATTTTTCAAATGGAACACTCTGTATATAATATTATTTTTGGAATCTCCAACAATTGCC